TGTGCTCCTCAGAGTCCGGCATCGGACCCAGATTAATCACCTCTCCCCACTCTTCGGCAACGGTCCCACACCAGGACTCCCTTCAGCTGCGGCCAGTGGCTGCACAGGAGCTCCTGGGCCATTTCGCAACACGGGCTTTGGCCAGACGGGCGGCAGCTTCCCTCCAGCCTGCTGCAGCGACAGACACGGCTCTGCTAAGACCACATGGCTACTTCTGGAAAAGTAAGGACAACTCAGTTCCCATCCTCCTTTCCAAGGTGCCCGGCTCTTGGGGGAATATTCTCCCAATGGCTCAGCCTGCGCACCTCTACTGCGTGCCCTCTTTCCTCTAGCTTTACTCCCCCAACTCATCCAAACCCCTTTGAATTACGTGAGATTCTGCTCTCAGACAGCTGCACGTGTGGGTACCGCATTAGGTAGTGCATTCCTCTCCCCTTCTGTCCAGCAGGCTCGGGAATGAAAACACTGAATCATACCGCTCAGAAAATACCCTCCTGCTCTGCGCTCCCGCTTTGCCATCAAACAAGCTCTGGGGTGGGTGGCTCGGGGTTTGGGAGATGCCACGCACAGATCATCCCTTTGGCAAGAGAAAAAGTTATCCCGTTGCCAGCCGGATGGGGATCATTCCTTAACCCCTCCTTAGGAACCTTCAGCCCATCATCTTGCAAGACCAACAGCAAAGCCATGAACAGGCATTTCCACTGGAACTAGAAGTGCTGTCCTTCTGACCCAAAGACTCAGAAACGCATGTGTTGCTGTCAAATCAGCCCAGTACACCAGGGTCTCTTCTGAACAGGTATTTCCGCTGGAACTAGAAGTGCTGTCCTTCTGACCCAAAGACTCAGAAACGCATGTGTTGCTGTCAAATCAGCCCAGTACACCAGGGTCTCTTCCCCTCAGGGATCTTCTCCGTGTTGTGGCATGTGTGCCAAAAGTCAGCTTGGAACTCATGCTGTACCCATGTGGCAAACAAGAGAGGGGCAAGAGCTGTCTTCCCCTTAACACAGAGCAGCCACAGGCCTGGCAGGGCATCAGCATCAAGCGTGTTGGGAGGACATCCCCCAGCTGAGCAGGGCCAGCAGCCTCTCCTCTGCCACAGCAGCTCAGCCCTGCTGCCCCAACATTGCCTCCAGAGCCCTCTGCCACAGACACAAGGCAGACAGATTTTTCCAGTCTGCACACACTTGAAAGCTGGGGAAATGTTGACTCGAACCTTCAATATGATCACTTCTCCTTGAAGCCCATTATGCACAGGATCTGTTACGCATGACGGAATCATTTGTTCTTGTCAGGGAACCCAAGAGGAAATTAGTTTTCTTATTTTACCGTAAGACCCCAAATGTTGTAGATTAATAATGCATGGAAAGGTTTGTAGTAGTGGATGAGTTGTAACAATTCAGATAATATAGCTGTTCAGTGAAATGAAGAGATTCTCTGATTCGAGAGCATATTAATAGGAAGATATCTGCCCTGTATTGACTACTTATGGTCTCTGAAACTATGATGTGCTGCCGGGTGCATCAAGCTGTACCAATTGGAAAAAACAAACAAACAAACAAAACCAAAACAAACAAAAACAAGCCCACCTCATTTTGGGGAGGGGCAAGGGAGGGATAAGTTGGAACTGTTCAAGTGTGGTCACTGTTTACGTACTTTCTAGGATCCAGAAAGCTCTGTCTGCAACCAGTGTTTGTGTTTAAAAAAATTATGGAAGTTGCTTTCATCTTCAGTAGTTGTTTTTAATTCTGATTGTTAGGGCCTGGAGGGATGCCATGCGGTGCACAGGCTGCAATAGCACTTGACAAGGCATTTCACAGGCAGCAGAAACAAGCACCAGCCACCAGCAGAAATGGATTCAGATTGTCAGAAGGTTGTTTCTGTGAAAATTCATGAATTGAGAGCAGTAAGACCAAGAACTTGATATCCTGTCTGTAACAGTAGCTGCTCTTTTACGCTTTGACCACTCATTACCTAGGAGATGCTCTTGACTATCCAAGTCTGGTCAAGTCCTTACTTTCATGTAAGTCACTTATGGGATTGAACATGCACCTTTTGCTTGGAACTCATGCTGTACCCATGTGGCAAACAAGAGAGGGGCAAGAGCCGTCTTCACCTTAACACAGAGCAGCCACAGGCCTGGCAGGGCATCAGCATCAAGCGTGTTGGGAGGACATCCCCCAGCTGAGCAGGGCCAGCAGCCTCTCCTCTGCCACAGCAGCTCAGCCCTGCTGCCCCAACATTGCCTCCAGAGCCCTCTGCCACAGACACAAGGCAGACAGATTTTTCCAGTCTGCACACCCAGGGCAAACACAAGCCTCACCCTCTATGGACTGGTTACCTCATTTTTGCATTTCACATTCATGCTACGCCAGTCTTTATTGAACATCACTTGGTTTTGCATACAATTGAGCACTCCCCTGCTTCTCCTCTCCCACCACATCCCACTCACCCAGCAAGTCCACTAGGTAACAGCGCAGGACAGTTGTGTAGCTCCACCAGTGCGTGCCCCACTGCGCAGAGGCACGCGCTGTGCACCTCTGTTTTAGGTGACTGTAAGACGACCGTCCCCAAGCATGGGCCAAAGGCAAATATTCCCACGCAGCGTAATCCCCTCTGTTGCTTCCAGGTTATCAGATGCAGAGCTGCTGTTGCCTGGGCCGTGGGAAAGCCACTCTCTGTTGAGGAGGTGGAGGTAGCACCTCCAAAGGCAGGTGAAGTCCGTGTCAAGGTAAAACCACGTTTCAATATATTTTTTCTCCCTTGTGGGAATTACTCTTCCTGTGGCTGTATGTTGAACATACCTGTCAGGGATCTGTGTCCACTAATAGGCCTTCACTGTTCAGAGAAGACCTCTGAAAAATCCTTCCACAAAATCAGTTAAACAGAGGCCAGACCATTTCTAAAGCTCATCTGCTCTTTTCCCTCCAAACAGATTGTGGCCACAGGCATCTGTCACACAGATGAACATATTTTGGAAGGCTGCTTTCCTAATGTGGATTTCCCAGTTATCCCAGGCCACGAAGGAGCTGGGATTGTGGAAAGCATTGGAGAAGGAGTAACCTCCGTGAAACCAGGTAACAGACACACACACAAATACACACTCAACATTCAGCTCTCCAACAGGCATCACCTTCAGTGTCTGCCCAGAGACAGGCACCACCTAACACGGGATGTGTCTTATTCCAGGTGACAAAGTCATCCCCGTTTCCCTTCCTCGTTGCGGGGAATGCAGCTTCTGCCTGAATCCCGAATCCAACTACTGCCTGAAGTGCCAGTGAGTTTGCTTCTCCTTCCCCTACACCTAAAAGGGGTTGGCTGTCTGTCAACAAGGCTGACAACACCATGGGTCCTTTACTTGATGAACAACAAATGCATGTGCCTCCCAACAGCTTCTCCAATTCACAAAGCCTTCTGCCTGACAAGACCAGCCGCTTCACTTGCAAAGGGAAGCAGATCCACCACTTCCTGTGGGTCAGCACCTTTGCAGAATACACCGTGATCCCGGAGTTTGCCGTTGCCAAGATAGATGCTGCTGCACCTCTGGACAAAGTCTGCTTGCTTGGCTGTGGGTTTCCCACAGGCTATGGGGCTGCCATCAACACCGCCAAGGTTGGTATTCAGGCGTGGAGAGCACAAGCACCCCACAGCCGCCCCACACCCTCACCAACCCTGTGCAACGCAAACCTCCTCTTCCCACTGGAGACTCACAGGGCCCCACGTTGTGCAGGTAAAACCAGGCTCCACCTGCGCCGTCTTTGGCGTCGGAGGAGTCGGCCTCTCTGTTGTCATGGGCTGCAAGGCGGCTGGAGCATCCCGCATCATTGCCGTTGATATCAACAAGGACAAGTTTGCCAAGGCCAGGCAGCTGGGAGCCACCGACTGCATCAGTCCTCACGACTTCAAGAAGCCCATCCAGGAGGTCCTCATTGAGATGACGGGCCATGGCGTGGACTACTCCTTTGAGGTCATTGGGCATGCCGATACCATGGTAGGTGGCATTTCCGAACGTGTCCTCCCTCCCAGCTCATTCACAGGCTCCTGTCAGGGCAAAATTCACCCCGGCAGGCAGTTCCTTGCCTGCTGCCTGCACTGCTGGGCACTTCTTTGCCCAGAAAGGCAGCCTATTGGCCTTGGGAGAAAACGATGTACATGTCTTCAAACCGGCACTGAGCTCTCCATCTTGGCTGCACCAGGGAGCATGTGCTTTCAGATTAACGGGGAGAGTCAAATGACTGCACAGAAAGAACGCTTTTTGGACAAACACATCAGCACGTTCTCTAATTCCCCTGCCTGTCCCATCAGACTGCTGCCCTGGCCTCCTGCAACATGAACACTGGAGTCTGCGTGATGGTTGGGGAACTGGCTTCTGGTTCTGTGATTTCCCTCGATCCTATGCTTCTGCTGTCTGGGCGTACATGGAAGGGCACTCTGCTTGGAGGTATGAAACTCAAGAAAACATTTCAGGCATTTCAGCCTTTTCTTTTTTACAGGAATTTCCAAATGTCTGTGGAACAGGTACGCTTCCGACCATATGAATAACTCTCCACAGTTTTAGGACAAAAGATACTTTAGACACTAAAAGACATAGTCACTAAGCTTTTGGTAACCAAGAATATTTCAAGCTTGGCAATGTCCCAGGAAGCCTCTTTGCGAGGGTTTTCAAGAAGACCACAACTAAACAGGAGCACTGCTTTTCCACTGTATATATAGGCATGAAACATGCTATTAAAGTTGTGACTGTTTCATGCTGTTCACCACACAGAACTGCTTACGGTAAGCCACTTTCATCCCAAAGAGAGGAAAATCTGTCACGAGATAAAGGCACCAATACAGGTCACTCAGTCCTGACCCTCACAGCAAGCTTTACCTTACCAAAAAAACATTCCTCTGATTATTCACTGCAGGTGCTTTCTCCCGTTTCTAGGTTGGAAGACGAGAGATTGTATCCCCAAATTAGTTTCCAGCTATTTGGAGAAGAAATTCAACTCAGACGTGCTGATCACGCACACGCTGCCCATCGCTAAAGTGAACGAGGGATTTGAGTTGTTACGTGCAGGAAAAAGGTGAGACCCTGACTGGCAGGAGAGAGGTACAGCAAACGCCACCTCCACCTAAAAATCCAGCAGTCCAAACACTCTGGCTGGCAGAGCGTGCAACACTGCCTTCTCAAAAAGCATCCAAGCCTTTGGAGGAAGCAGGGACCAGGGACGTATGTTGGGAGGATCTACCATAACCTGGAGGGAAGAGCCCACGCTCAGCACAGGGAACCCTCCTGCTCACGGTTCAGCTCAGCAGAGATCTCATGGCCGCGGTGCTGCACTGCACCCAGCACACACCCTTAGACACCACATCTCAGGGCACTGTTGGGAGAGCACAGGACAGGCACAGCAGAGCAAGGAGTAAGGGGCATCCTTGGCAACAACAGCATAAAAGCCAAAGGAAGGAACAACATGTCTTACAGCGCAGCACAAGAGCTTTGGGGAGGGACAAGGTGCCTTAGCTCCTGAGGGGTTCCCTTCAGCAGCATTTTGAAGGCTGCCCCGCTGCTGCACGGCTCCTGCAGCTGACTTAGGAAGAGGCTGGATGAGACAGAAGGTGTCCGGTCCTCAGGCACACCTGCCTGCCTCACTGCCTGCTCCTGAACACCCCAGCCACAGCACCTCTAACTCCTCCCTTCCCTTCCACTTTTCAGTATTCGCAGCGTCCTGCTCTTTTGAAGGACACAGCCAGGGGAGGCTGAGCGGAAGGACCAGCGCAGCGGACACTCTCCTAGCGCAGGCCCTTCTCACCCAGCACCTCACTTGGTGGGGTGCAAGGAGATGATAACGAGGAATTTGTTGACGCTGCTGTTGCTGACAGAGCTCGCACGCCTGGCCGAGACCAAGAGGTACGCCTCTTCCAAGGAAATACTTTTATCAATAAAGGGTTTCGGCTAAACTCGTCCCATGCAGTGTACTCAATCAACAGAGGTCCCATGGTGCAGGAGGAGCTCTTCCTCCTACCACAGGCCACTCCATCACACCCCTTGTCTCAGCAGCGAGCAACTGCATTTTCCCCCTCCACTGCTGCTGCTTCTCACCTTCACCCGCCTTACACACTTACGCCCATCTCTGCCCCCATCTCAGCTGTGTGAATGCTGCAACCTCAACCATAGGACAGCACAGAAACGACAGCTGTTGCTGCTGCTGCTCTTCTCTGGTCTCACTTACAGGACGAAAATGTGTTAACCTCATATAAAACCTGCCACTCCAGCCACTTTCATTTGAACATGAAGTTTTCTTACCACATTTCTTTGTCCTATTCTCTCCTATTCTTCCCTTCTTCAAGTCATATTTATCCTCTTTAAATCTTCTGGCCTCCTGAGCTCAGTTTGGTGGCTTTTCTCCGGATCTAGTTTTGTTCCTGATAACAACCTCTGAGAAATTTATAGATTGGAACCATCCCATGGTGCAGGAGGAGCTCTTCCTCCTACCACAGGCCACTCCATCACACCCCTTGTCTCAGCAGCGAGCAACTGCATTTGCCCCCTCCACTGCTGCTGCTTCTCACCTTCACCCGCCTTACACACTTACGCCCATCTCTGCCCCCATCTCAGCTGTGTGAATGCTGCAACCTCAACCATAGGACAGCACAGAAACGACAGCTGTTGCTGCTGCTGCTCTTCTCTGGTCTCACTTACAGGACGAAAATGTGTTAACCTCATATAAAACCTGCCACTCCAGCCACTTTCATTTGAACATGAAGTTTTCTTACCACATTTCTTTGTCCTATTCTCTCCTATTCTTCCCTTCTTCAAGTCATATTTATCCTCTTTAAATCTTCTGGCCTCCTGAGCTCAGTTTGGTGGCTTTTCTCCGGATCTAGTTTTGTTCCTGATAACAACCTCTGAGAAATTTATAGATTGGAACCAGGAAGAGAAATTACAATTGCATTTATGTCCCATGGTGTGTAAATGTGGGTCCTAGAGGTACTAAACCTAGATTTTCAGAAAGTAAAAAGCAAAATTCCTCCTTACATTGCAGGAGTGCAGTTCTATAGGAGCTACCAGGATCACAACCAGTTGGGCAACTAAATTTGTTCTGAACAGAAAAGGAAATGCATGGATATGACCTGTATGTGTCCCTTCCAACTTGAGCTATTCTAAGATTCTGTGATAAAATTAACTCAAAATTAGCAATTGCTCTAAGATTCCTAATCTCTATTTTAACACATTTTTTTCCCCTCAGCCATTCTCTGCTAGGATGAATAGAATCAATTGTACATGTTTAACATACCTTTATCAATATTTTTGTTTTATCTCTTCAATGTATAATATGTCAGGGTGGATCTAACTCTCCATATCTCATTTGCGTCCTCCCTCTTCCATTTTGTATGACGTATACAATATTTTTGTCCTAATGGAAATCCAAGCAACAGGGCACCTTAAAGAACAGTGAATTATCTTGCTAACAAGTGCAAAGCTGTACCTGCTAGGATATGATCTAGTTTGCTCTTCAAAGTAGATATGCAAAGATTGTCTCTGAAACTGGTGCTCAGTTGCACTGAAGACAAAAATTTAATGCTGAGGCATTAATAAGGGCATTAATATCTACCTTTGTCTTTTAATTAAAAATTACTGAAGGGTTTGAACTACTGCAGGCAGGGGAAAAGATAAGATTTGTACTTAGCCCTCATAAGTGGATTTCAGAGTCTATTCTGCAAAGTGATTTCTGTCAAATATTCTTCCATTTGGATACAGACAGGAAACGAACATAATACACAAAGGGGGCCAGAACACTGACTACTGAGATGATGACAAAGACCTTGAGGCCTGTGCCTATCTGTGCAAACACCTGACCTAACAGATCAGTTATTAAAACTTGTCTGATACGTGAAGATATGTAGCAAGTCCAGATACGAAATATTGTTGAATGCACATACACAGCATCTGTAATTAAAAAGTTAATCATTAAATCCATGCCTACTGACACACAGGTTGGACTTTATTTTCCCTCTTTTAATCGGATAAGAAAAAAAAAATCCTCCTTTCTTAAGGTATATGCAAAGCTGCACAGCAACAGGATCTTGGTATCAATTCCTCCCCGTATTCACATACATTCAAATGTTTTGCAGAGATGTCAGCTACCCATGGCACTTCACAACTGCAAGCAGGTCAGTCAGCAATTCTGAAATCTATGTTGTCTTCACATCAATGTTGTGTTTGCAAGTTTGATGGAGGAGAGCATCACATGGATGTTTTAAGGATAAATAATATTACACATTTGAAACACCTTTTTACAACCATTTTGTAGGCTGTAATCTCAACAGCAGAGACTGGACATGTTCTAAGAGGCATGAAATACTAGTACACGTAAGCACTGTTCACATTTATGTCCTTATGTGTGACATGAAAACATAAGCCATATGTATGGAATGTTATCTAGAAAGCAATTGAATGATTTCATTCTCTGTCACAGTATTTCTAAAATTTCTTGGTTTAAACTTCAAACACTAGAAACCATATGGGATATCAGCCATACAGCACTTGTCCTCTGGAATTGCTCTCCAACCCTTGCACAACGTAGAAAATTGAATGGTAATCAAAACCAACTAAAATAAGGCTCAAAAGCTTTGTAAAGTGGGTCTGTCTGAACAGCTTAAAGAATACATTTGTTTTCAGCTAAGCACTTAAACATCAGTCCACTTTCAAAGTGGAGTGAAGATTACAAAGCACATGAAAGCAACTAATCCTGGAGAAGAACTTTACTTCACCAAATCTAGTGAGTGAACTGACAGGATAACAGGCCTGAAAGACATGTGAATCAACTGTAGAGTTGGGTGTCCTAAGCATGAGTCTACAGAATAATGCCTTCCTGCATTTTTTTTCTGGTCAGGACTAATTTTTTTTTTGCATCCTAACATTAACAGACGTCTTTCAATTTAAAAAAAAAATATTAATATTAGTATATCTACCATTTTGTTCAACAGCTAAAGAGTTGAGTTCATCTCACTATAGCATTCTAAATGGTTCCTGATCCAAGAAGGGGTTTTATGTCATTATTGGTAGTCTTGTAGGAAATTATCCCATTCCTTAGATATACAAAAACATCCTTTCAGCACAAGAAAGGAGGATTCCTTTCTAGTGGATAGGCCTTTTCTAGTCTATTGTTTCTTTCTAGACTGGAGCTGGTGGGATCATGAAGGTCCTCAAAGCTGAATTAGGCATGTGGAAACTTACTTTCATTACAGACAACATGAATTCCTGCACAGCAGGCCCAGGAATGGAAGAAGGACTGGAAGAAGGATGAACTGGCTTTCCGTACCGGGCTAACCAGTTAAGTGTGAAGAAAAAGGGAAGCATGGAGAGAACACAGGTCTAAAGAGAGGAAGGACACAATACCTGAGCAAAGATTTTTATTTTAAGTTGAAAGGAGGTCTCATCACTTTTTCAACACCCAAAATTTCAAAGCTATAATCAATATATGGCATTTCTGACATGCTGGGGTCAAGTTCATGTGTGACTAGGAAAAACTGATTCTCTTTACTGACACTTAACCATATCAGCTCCATTTTCAACTTCTTCATCCATCACCTTTCTGTTCCTTTTATCATTCTCTCCTTGGCAGCAGCTTAAAGTTTATTATATGATAAGTCTAGTGATTCTAGCTGGTTGCCCAATTACACATAACAACCACGTGCATTCAATATTTAATGTGCGGTATTTCTTTCCAAAGTAGCAATGGGAAGGACACATTGCTCTTTGGAGTGGTTTCCATTATTTAGCTTATCTGTTTCAGCTACAATTCTATTTTAATCCATTCTACTGCTTAGTTTCTTGAAAATAACAAAAAGGCATTTATTTCAAGTTGAATACCCCGAGCTCTGACTTACATAGAATATAAATGCAGACTCAGCAGTCTAAAACTACCATCAATAAAACACCGGTAGATTTATGCAAGATATATTTTAACCCAGAAAAATATTTACTATTCTGTCCTAGCAAACAGTTTATATGGGCAACGAGTCCATATAGGAGACTGCAAAAATCAAAAGGAAACAAATGGGTTTCCTCTATAACATATACATGAAGCATCGGAGTATCAAACATTGTTCTCTGCTGATGCTTACATACTGTTATAGGCGAATGCAGAGAGCACCCAGCTCTGAACAGACCACCGCTTAAAATATTTTCATTTTCTGTTTGAGTATTTGTGACTCTCTACTGTTTTCTTATACTTGAGAGGTGACAATCATACATCATTTCTCATCAAGTGTCCCCTTTCCGGGTCTTTCCCATTGTAGAAGGAACACAAACACAAATGTCAATCTTTGCTTCTAGAACTATGTAAACTAGTACTACGTAAATGTAGTGTATTATCTGAATAATCCTTTGGCATTTATTTTAAATTGGATGCCCTGGGCTCTGACCTATACAAACATTATGATAGCCACACCAAATACTCCAGCAGGGGATATCAATATTTTAAACAAAACCTAGTTACCATAAAAATCCAATATATCATGATTCTTGTCATTTACACCACCACTTCAGAGAAACTGATAGTGATGCGCACTTCTAGCAATATCAGCCATATAAACAAAATGAGAAGCAAATAAATCTCTTATGATGCTGATCAAATATGTGTTTTTTTAACATCCCACAAATTTTTTAAAAAACACAATCCGCTGTGGATAAAACAACAAAACTGGACTATTAAAATAACTAAGTAATCTGAAA